TCCAACAGCCAGGGCCCTCAATGGCAGGTAGAGCGTTTCCCCTCAGGCAACAAGATGATGACATGGGGATGGAGGGGACGATGGACACCAATGATGGACACCAACATGTCCGGGCTCTTCCTCACAGCACAGAAGAGCAGCAAACACACCCAGCCATTCCCCAGGGTGGAGGCTGAGCTGCCCTCATGAAGGGCAGGGAACCTAACCAGCCACCCAAGCATTTCTCAGCAGTGCTACAACTGCTGCCTGTCCTCATGGCGCCCTCCTCACCCACCGCTCCCTCCTCACCCCACGCTCCCCAAGCATTTCTCAGCAGTGCTACAACTGCTGCCTGTCCTCATGGCGCCCTCCTCGCCCACCGCTCCCCTCCTCGCCCACCGCTCCCTCCTCGCCCACCGCTCCCCTCCTCACCCACCGCTCCCTCCTCACTGCTGCCACTTGACTGAAAAGAGCACAAGTTCTGAAAAAATAAAGAGCCAAAGCCGTTTCTTGGTTTATAAATTTTTATTAGCTGGATAGTGTACACAGTACTTACAATTGCATCTATTAAAGACCAAAATCCACTTGAAAAAATGCGTCGTATTAAAAAAATTATAAACTTTTAACTATGTACAAACTTTGCCTTACATTACGGTAATCTCGGTACCCTCCCAACACCCATTCACAAAGAAAAGATTTTCTTCCCCCCCCACCCCACCCTCTTTTTAACATGCGAGGCCTTAAAGCCGTTTGGCACCACTTGAGGACCATTTTCCACATCCCATTCTTCACACTCATATAAAACTGGTTTTTAATGGGTTTACTGCTCCAGTTCTCTCTGGGTCAAACCACCGTGTTTCTGGTTCTCCCCAAGCCTCTTCTTTTATCCTCACCCACTCTTTTACGTACTCTCAAAGTGGAGTTTTTGCTCAAGTGTAGCCAATCCACAAAGAACTTCTAATATAATTGAGAGGTTTGAATTTGATTACATCTCCAATTGAACAAATTCACCCAGGAAAAGAAAGCAGACTCTTTTGGTAACATGGTGTTGACTGATAACTCCAATCTCACCATGCAAACACTAATTTTTAGAAGTGATACACATAACCCAAAGCAAATTAATAATATGACAGTAGCATTCAGGCTCTCACATCACTAAAGTATTAACGATAAGACTTCCTACATAACACAAATCCATAGGTCTTAATACACGTTCTACAACACCAGATCAGAGAACCTATATATGAAGGGCTTATTGGGGGAAAAAAAGTTCTAGCTGTTTTGAAGAAGTTTACAAGTTCTTTAAGAAAAGATGTAATTAGTCATTAAAAAAAAAAAAAACCCTATGTCAGAGCAATAATCTTGCTTCTCTAACTTCCAACTCTCAGAGGGGGTTCTCCAGGACAGAGATTAGCCATCAGCTGAAAAGCAGAAACATTATGGACAGGCTGTTTTACTCCAGCACAGAAATATTCCTCCAGCACGTGAATACTCCACTGACAAAATGTACAGATGCTTTAAAAAAAAATATATATTTACAATAATGCTGCAAATTCAACTAAAGCAAATTTTTTTTGTTATTCCTTCACTAAAAGAGAGCTACATATTTCCTGAAATGGGTGATGTCAAAAGAAATGCTAGGTGAGGATTTCATAGTCGCCAACTGAAGGAAATAAGCACCATGCTCTAATTGGCCATGTATTTTAAGGCAGAAGCAACCAAAGGCACCAAAGATGCCATCAAGTGCAATGGAGGTAAACAAATGCCTTTTGAATCATTAGAAAAAAAATTCCTGATGGAAGATTTGTGAGCAGAGCGTGAGATTTCTAACCTAATTTAAAACAAAAAAGAAAGAAGATTTATTTGCACATGACGTACAAGGCCACCTCCTCCCCTAGCTGCAGGCATCACTGTGTATCAGTTTCTTTCTCAGCTTCAGTTCACCTGTCAGCTGTGGTAAGAACATGGAACTAAAAATTCAGAAAGAAAACAAACTGAACTCCATTTAGAAAATCCAGCTGCCTAACTACAAATACCAAATCTGCATTGCTTTTTTGTTCTTTCACTGGCTACATACCTCCACAGGTGGCTGACCTAAACATTGTCATCCTTACTATCTAGACAGGCGTATTTTTCTTCCACAATTGCCTGCTTGCAATGTAGAATCTAACATTTCTCCACATTTCTGCGCTCTCCTCTTGCGTTCCTTCTCACAGTCTTAGATCTAGTATTTTTCTCTTTTATCCAAAGTAAATAGAATTTTAAAGACACTGTGGTTTTGTATCCTCCCAGCCTTCTGCAACTTGCTAATTTGTCCTCCATTTTGCGTGTAGTAATAAGCTTTCACTAAATGGGAAAAACATAGGGGGGAGATAATATGGGTTCTGTTTTTCAAGTTTCATTTACTTTTTTTGACACTTGAAAACAGAGTGCACTGAATTTAAACAAGTCTCCCCAGTCCTCAGAATCACCCCACCCTCTGCTCCTTCACCTGTTCAGGTTCATAATCACCTCTCTCAATGACAGTGCCTGGCAATATTTCCAATCTCATGCTTAACTGCTGTGATACAGTTTTTTTATATGTTTTACAGAACACAAAAATTGGAAGAGATGGGACTATAGCATGCAGGTGATACACAGAGAGCCTGTAAAACTCATTCAAGATAGGAGACAGGCATGGAAAGATGCAAGTATCACCTGTTAAAATGTTTATGAAATAGAGCTTCCATCACCAAATTTCAAATCAGTAAGAACGGAGCAAGATTAAACTCTGTAATGAGCTAAGGAATTAATAAAGATACGTTTTGTTGAGATACTCAGCCAGAGTCAGCTATAAGTCATGAAAAAAAAAATCTTTTTTTTTTTAAATGTAAGTACTCTTCCTTCATTAAGTGCCACTTTTTTTTATTCTTAAATTATTTAAAGAGGATAGTCTATAAAAAGCCTGAAAGGTTCATCAATATCTGCCTTCATTTGTTTAACAGTCCTTCAGTTACATCAGGATGAGCTGAACTGAGCTGCCCTATGCTTCTGCTGTTATGAAACAATCCCTCCCTCTGTAGAATGAGAGAATTGTAGAACTGATTTAGAACAGACATCAAGAAACACCATCACAAAGACTGCCAAGTGCTATCACTCTGAGATTGCAGATTTTATGTCTTTTGGAGGAACCATGCACTGGACTGGCATGTTAGAAGGAACATTAAAAAAAAAAAAACAAACAAACAAAAACAAACCAAACCCACCTTTGGAAGAGACTCACCTAGAAGTTTTAAATCCTTTTTATACTAGCATCCACTTTTCTTCCAAAGCAACAACTACTGGCAATAAACATACCAAAAAACACCAAGAGATTGTTTTTACTATTTAAATCCTTAACCCCACATCACCCTGTCCCCTCTTACTTCTTGGAACGGATACACAATATATCAAGTCCTGTCATAATCTTGAAATACTTCTATCATTGTGACTGGATGGCTGAACTTTTCCCACAGGAGAGCTTGTTGTTTATCTATTTTACAAGGTGGTACTCAAAAGAACCTCCTTCAGTTTCTGTCAGTTTCAGAAGTGCAGATGCAACAACAGGGGACAGCTCCATTGACAATGAAGTCCAAAGTTGTAAGGAGCGGATGTAAATAACAAGTCTCTGCTGAGAAAAAAAAGTACTGTGGTGAAGTCACCTCAGTGCTGGTTGCTATAAACTGGATGATGTCTCTGTACAGAAGGGCCAGAACTCCAAGAGGTCTTTGCTGGCCCTGCTTCAGCACGCCAGGGTTATTGCTGATCACCGAGTCAGTGGCACAATCTCACCCATGGCCAATCTTAATGCAAGAAATGTTGTGTTTTGTTTTGTTTTTTTTAAAAAAAAAAGGCATGAGCAGTCAGACTCTGAAATCCCTGCGCTGGATCAGAAGAGTATACCCAAGAAAGTCAGTAAGTTTCTATTTGTTGAGTCAACTGCAGTTAAAATCTTGACCACGTACTGAAAACGTGGTGCTTGTTCTGTAGAAAAGGATAGGCTGTGATATGGCGATTGTCCCACCGAAAGACTCGCTTGAGACACTGGAAAGGTAGAACAGACTTGCAGAAGGGACGGGAATTTCTGTTCAGTTTTGTTTGTTTTTTTTTTTCTTTTAAGCAGTGGTTAGGAGACTCTGATCATCTGTGTCATTGCTTCTTCATTGGTCTGAGTTGGATCCTACAGATTCAAAAATACATGTCATGTTGTAACTTCAACATTCTTCCAGAAGAGCACAGAGAATCATGCACAACTCTTATCAAGAAGAGATACACCTGCCCCCTCCCCTGATCTCTAAATATGTAATATTTTTCCTGGCTTTTACAGGCCAGTGTAAGAGAATGGGACATATAAATCCTAATAGTTCCTAGTGATGTGCTGTTTCTGGTAATAGGGAAGAACTAGTGCTGGTCTAGTATTTGGAAAGGATTCTACTTCAGAATAGGAAATATTCTTCTGCTAAAGTCACAGAACTGCTTTAAAGCACTTAATCAACAACAGAATTCACTAATTCTACTCTATTGTGTCCCTTCCTTTGAATAAATCTGTCTTGTACTTTTAATGTAAATCAATATGCAGCTAAGAATCAGATATTCACACTTTTTAATTTTCCATCAGATTTAAGATAAGGTGTCCTCTACCTTTAATTCATGTCCTAAAAAAGTACCTCTGGTATGTAACCAGAAAGACTGCAAAGACTGTATTTCTTAGGACAAATAAATAAAAGCATTCTCTGTTTGTAAAACAAAATGAATACAATTCTATCAATATTACTATAATTTAATTACTCAAGGCACTTGCTCTCTACAAGAAGTGAGACAGAGTTTTCTTTACAACGCCTGAAACAAATTCAAAGGGGACAAAGGTCAGCAGCCTAGCCCCAAAAAAAGAACAAATAAAACAACACAAAGACACCGCCAAAGCATATTCTGAAGAACTGAAAGTGGCAGTTGTCCAAAGAACAGACAAAACTCTACTTACCTGCATATGAGGGCTGTCTTTTTCCTTTGGTGAGAAGAAACGTCCCCCTTCTCCCCGCTTCCTAGCCATGGCATGCCGATGCCGAGATTCATGCAAGTATTTCTGCAACAACACAGAGGAGGTAATGAGAGACCAGCTTACTGTTTCTGCTTCAGTACTTTCAGCAGGGGAAATTCCTGACCACTAGAAAAGCCTGCCCAGTCCCCATCCTTCCCCCTTCCCCAAAGAGAAAGTATTTACAGTTAATGCCCATCTGTAATACAGAAACATACATATTCAGCAATTAGAAGTACACAAAGGAAGCAGGACTGTCACCCAGGGACTTTAAAAAATTACTCTGATGTAGCTCATGAACAAAAAAAAATATTAAACAATAAAAATTGAACACAGTAAGATTCAGTCCTCATTTTCCAGCACAGGTGGTTCTCTGTGCATTTCTCACAGAGCAACTTTGTACTAGATCCGAATTTCATTCTCATTCTCACCCTTCTTTCTTTGGGAATTTTTCCCTCCGCTTCAAGCTTAGCACGTGCCTGCCTCCTCTTAAGGATCCGGTGATATTGCTTGGCATTTACATAGAGGGGCTCTTCCTCCAGCATTTCTGCTCCAGGCAAAGGTATTCTCTGGATAGCTGGTACTGATCCAGCTCCAGGTACCATCTGCATAGAGAATATGTTTTTTAGTACTTACAGCTCAGAACACAAAGTGAATGCAGAAAAGTAATTAAAAAAAAAAAAGTTAAAATGGGAAGTGTTTGGTTTTTATTCAGATGATGTACCTACTTAAATTGAAAGGAGTAATAAAGTTGTTCTCAAACTGCAGAACATATTTAAAACAAATCAATTACTTATCCGTCGTAATTTTTTTTTCTGATAATGGTAAAATTTCAATAGAACACACAATTCTATGACCACGTTACTGCTTCTTGTACAATTAAGCATACAGGACATGCCCATTGCTTCCCTTTCTTTCTGGTTATCACGTATTTAATTTATATGATAATTTCAGAGCATTTCTTAAGCAAATATTACTTGTACAGCTGCTGACATCTAGTGGGGATGGATAATAAAACTCAAGTGAAAAGGCATCCCACTTACAAAGAAATAAGAATTGGCAGGAAAAGCCCTCATATGAAATAGAAAAACAAATACTAAGGGATCCTCAAGGAAAGCAATAATTGATTCAGTCTTTTTAAGCCTTTAGTTATCAATTAACAGCTTATTTTGAATTTCAGTTTCTAGATTTCTAAACTCAATAATCTGCTCCAGGAGAAAGAAAGTACAAAATAGAGAGATCAAAATAGGACACAGGCCACTAAAACTGAAAAGTTATATTGAGTAAACTTTAAACTAATGGTAGCTACTGAGAAGACTGATCATATTAAGGTGACATAAACCTCAGACAACAGTTTTGTGTACTTAAACCTCAACCTTGAAAATTATCTATGGAAAGTTAAATACATACCATAACCATTCCACCTGAATTGACAACATTTCCAGCAACTGGAAGAGTCACCGTGACAGTCCCTTGTCCACTACTGGTTGTATTGGTGTTGGCTCCCGTTTGGACAATTTGGGCTCCAGCCAAACTGGCTGCTGGAATGGTGATCATGCCTGTAACAGGGACTGTAACTTTAAGAAAATAAAACACAAAAGAAAAAAAAAAAAAGAAAAACAAACCAAAAACACGCACACAAAGAGAAGGGAACACCATTAGTCCCACTTCTGTGTTTTTTACTCATTCATCCTTCCAGAACATGTAAAAAGGTTTAGAAAAGCACTGCAAGTTATTAACAAAATTCCATCACCTTGTCCTCCTACTTCTTATTTTTGCACTTGTATCTGCACAGTAATCCAGTGTCAGATAACAGACCATGTACTCTAGCACGTAAAAGCAAACTTCAGTATTTCCATCCTAACAGCCCATGCCAAAGAAAAGAGCCATATTTTATTTTTCTGCAGAAAGACCCCCTGACTGAATTCCTCTACAATAACATAAACATCTCTTCTTCCATTCACTGTGCCAACAATTCCTATCACAGCACTCACAGCACTGCAACTCCATGTTTGCTTTGATAATAATTTACAAGGCAATACAAATCTATCAAAGAGAGTCGGAGAAGTCCTGACTCTTTGCACACCAAAGCTCATACCTTGTTGGAGAATGGTTCCATCAGCATTAACTGGCTGATAGACTATGGTCTGGCCTTCAGCTGCTTGTGCTACCTGTTGTCCTTGAACTGCTATTTGTTGCTGGGTCTAAACAAAACAAAGAACACAGTAACTTTACAAATCACTTATTTTTCACTTTTACAATTCCTGAGTTAACAGATGGTGCTTAAGGTGTTTCAGGCATCTATTTCTTTTTTCTTTATTACCAGCACCAAGAAATAGGATGGAGCACAAACCAACTGAACTGTAGATAAAATACCTAAAGCACATATAACATACTTTCTCTAACAGTGTAGTATTTAATATTGAAAGAAACAAGTTCTAGGTTTCCTGTCTCACTATGAGCATCTTAAAGGAAGAACTATTCTGCTTGGAAATTTAATTCTGGCCCTTAACAAAAAGAATCAGCAGAAAACCCATCTATGACTAGACCACTTCACAAAATGGTGCAAGTATAAAATTAGCAATACTTCATGTTTTCAAATTTCAACAAATAGACAAAAACAACCAATGAACCAATAAAATACAGAAACACAATGGATAAAAACATGCAATCTATTTATTCTGTATGAAAACACTACAAAAATATGAAATTTATTCTCAAGTTCTCCTCAATATTAATAATTCCTCCTTTTTTTTTTTTTTTTCCTTTTTTTTTTTTTTTACTTAATGACACCTTAAGTCATTTGTCAAGTTTCTCTTCCTATTTCTCTCAAGAAAACCCTTTCATGCTGGTGCAGTTACCTGTGTCTGGCCAGCAGTAACTGCAGTCTGTGGCTGCTGTATAATGATCTGCTGGGTCTGGCCCTGCTGCCCCTGTACCTGCACAGCCTGCCCACCTTGAATCTGAATCTGACCTGGCTGGACCAACTGAATCTGTGGAAGAAAGAGTCAGAAAGGAACATTAACTATACCTCTTAATTCTCCCTCCTTGGCCTCAGCATTACCAAATCATCTCTGAGGATGATTTACTGTTGCAAAGAAAAAGAAAGTACTGCTGCTTCTCTTTTTCCACTTTAAAATGAGGAGTTTTAATTTCTTCCTCCCTGTGACTCAGCAGTCACAACCATGCAGAAGAGAGGACACGTAACATGCTAGTGTCATTATGCCCTAGCAGTTCTCCACTGCTTGCACAAGAAAACAGTTAGAAGAAATAAATTATTCACATTAAACTAGGAATAATAATACTCAGGTGAAAGAAAAAAAAAAAAAGACTAAGATTTAAGATGTCTGTAGAGTGTTAATTATCCAGCATACAGAAGTACTCCTGGATATATATGTTGTCTTCAGCTTTTCAGAGAAGACTTTCCACCAACGTGGAATATTTCTTAGATTAAAAAAGAGGAACAGGAATATGGTTTGAAGCTTGTCTTTAAAAACCCAGTTAAGGTTTTTCCTTGAACAACCAGACTGTAAAGTACCTAACAAAAAATAGAATGTCTTTTAACAAAAGAAATTTCAAATAAACACTAAATAAACCTCTCAAAACACCCAAGACATCATGTGCCTTCCTGAACTGTGCTGAACTCCATTCTGAAATCCCATTCTCAAATCACTAGAACACTTCCATCATGTCACTGTTACAGTTCTCTTTGCTTTTGGGGAATACACTTAGAGTGCCTGTTCAAATTTAAAAACTGTCTTTTAAACAATGATTTTCAAATAATTGCTTCTAAAAAATCCATCTTCTATACCTTCTACAGTATTACCTTCTATGCAATGGAAATGTTTAAATTCACCTCCAGTCATCATCTATTAGATGAACTCAAGTACAAGTTATTTTCAAGAAGCTTTTTTTTTTCAAAAAAAGAAAAAAAAATTCCCTTTCTGAGCCATAAATTGAGTAGGAACCAGATCACCAACTACACTGCAAGGGCCAGTTAAAATAAAAATAAGAAAAAACCCCAAAAAATGCAAACCAATTCCAGCTGTATTTTAATAGACTTCATTTAAAAGGTTTGCACCATCCCATTAAAATAAATAAAAAATAAAATCAAACACAAGAAGAATTTTCATTGCATTCTTAACATGCAGCTCGATGCCAGATCCATAGCTGGAGAACAACCAACTTTGCCCAGTTTATTTTAAGAGTACTGAGGCAAATGTACTATTTGACAGGGTGAGAACATCACAGTTCATTCTCTTGTAATTTATCTTAAATAAAACTAAGAGTTATCTCACCTGCTGCAGTCCCTGTGTTCCAGAAACTGGGACTTGCATGATTGTCTGCCCCTGACCTCCAGGCACAGCCTGCACCATGATGGGCTGGCCAGTGGATGTGATCAGCTGACCTCCGCTTACTTGTACCATTAGTGGTTGACCCTGGACCTAAAGAAACAGGAGAAAAAACCAAACAGAACAATGAAAAAATCTGGTGATGTGAAGCCAGAAACTGAAGTGGCTCCCACATGAGGCTAAATGCTTACCTATTTTAATGTGATGATCAGAGAACCTCACTAACCTGGGTTCATAATCAGCATCGAGAATCTTTAATTTCTAAAACTTCTGTCCATGATGTGCCACTGGATTTAGTAAATTATCTTTTCCTTTTTTTTTCTGTTCCAGTCTAACCAAAACTTCCAAGTCTAATTGCAATAAAGCATGGAAAGCATGGCTAAATTTTCCAGTCACAGTAACTACCTTCATGCACAGCCCAAGAGCAAAGAGCAATAAAAGAAGCTTCATTATCCACATCTCTATTGCTGATCTTTAATTGGGGTGCCTAATGAGAAAGCTCTAAATAAGGTACTCTTAACAGAGAGATCCTGAAGTAGCTGCAGCTCTCTCCAACTACATGCTTGCAATATTTCCATGTCCTAACTGATATATAGCATGGTTATAATCTTTTCATTAATATTAATTATAAATGTAACAACACAAAACGTAGTTCAGTAAGGACCAGTGAAAGATAATGAGCAGCAGCCACCTCCTGGCCCAACAAGGCTTACAGCAGATTTACAAATTCAGTGGAAGAGTCTCTGGACTTTTAGACCAGGCATGTCTCTGGTCACCCAGACCATGTCTCTGGTCACTAGGAAAAAGGTCAGTGAAAAGAAAAGGAAGAGGAAAACTTCTCTTCTTAAACACCCTCACCTGCTAAGTCCCCAAGCTCCCCAAAATATATCTTTGAACATTTAAGCCTCCAAGGCTTAGATGTGAAATGAGTCTTATGAACTAATTAATCACTCTTCACCACGCTCTGAGTTGTTTAGAAACAAGAGCAACACATGATAAAAAGCCACTGAAATCTTGAGTTTTCTACTTATACATTTCACAAACGTGCAGTAGGGAACACTCATTTTTTCAACAGCTGTAGAATACCAGGCTAAACCCCAGTATAAAAATTTTCAACACATACTGAACTACCTGAAAAAGAAAAAAACAGCTTCACTTTGCATAGTTGAAATCCCACAGTGAACTGCACACTAACACAGCCAGGGAAACAACCACAGTTGTACCTCAGTGATCAATGCCCTACACACAACATTGTGATTTACAGATCACCTCATACCCTCGTGACACTGTTCTGTTCCTTGTAACCATGGCACACAAGTTCCTAACAAAAATCAGTAGTACTTGTTTGGAATTATAACAGAGAGCCAGAGAGAGAGATAAGCATGCTCGTGTCAGCCACAGAGAAGCACAGTCAGCAGTAAAATATCCAATAAGCAGGAAAAAAAAAAGACACATTCCAGGTTTCTTGTTAATATATTAGAGCAAGCCAAAAAAAAACCAAACCAGAAGGGAGGGGCACATGCCAACAACCAGGAGGCCACAGTGACCCAAGCAATTCAAGTCAGCCAGCTTTTCAGATTTTAACTCTGAACATAAAAAATGCTGTGTTCAACTTTACACCTGGCAAGAACATTCTAGCCTCTTGGAACTTTCCTCCTCTGAAGAATAAAAAAAAAAAAACCACCCCAAATAAATCCAAAATACTGAGTGAACAATGCACTACAGAACTGCTATGGCTATCTAGGGTTTATCCACTCCTCTAAAAGCCTCCTACGTGAGCTAACAAAATGAAGTTTGCAAGACAGAGAAGATACTTCACGCTGCAGCAAATCAGGATTTGAGATAACCTTGCTTTTCTTTCCAATTTGTGATGTATTTACTGTTAGGATACATACCCCTCCTGGTTTTCCCTGTGTTTTCCACATCTAAATAACAAATCAGATCTCTCTGTCCCACAGAGGCCAATATTGTCCCCAGGTGCCCTTTTTAATCAAAGATTTTAAAGTTCCACTCTTCAAGCTCATGGGTCATCCACCACCTCTGTGTCTTTCATGTAGTGAAGACACAGAACTACAAACAGTGGAGATCAGAAATCTAATTTCCTTGAAACTACAGCAATCTTTGGGTTCTCTCTCTTGACAGTTATTTTTTCATCTTGGTGTGGTTTGTTTTGTTGGGTTTTTTTTTCTTTTAAGTCTCATTTCAA